TCTCCAAACTTCCATTAATGCATAATTTAAGTTGTTTTTTAGTTTGTGATCTTCATATTAGTATTGTAATGTTATACAAGAGCATTAAAAGCCAATTAAACTTAATTTAATCAATTTATGTCATTAAAATCTAATTCCAGTTCAAACAGAATAACCTGCTGTCAACATAATTATGGAGTGTAATTTATTTTCAACTCGACATATTTTCTAAATAACGAAATATGAAGTTATTAGGGAGGAAAACCCGTCTGGATAACAGCAGACTGACTGCTCGTAAAATATACGACAGGTCTGGACCACTCGTGAATTTAGTTTGTATCTGAAAAAAATCGTAGAATACGAAAACATTGGTGAATGCCACAAATTCTCCTAAATCACTCGTACGCACAACTTAACAACAAATCTGTGTGTACGAACGGTTCTTGCATGAGGCCCATTGATTATTGTTGTTAGCAAATCTTGTTCTGACTTTAATCATTCTGTCTGCAGATGAACAGCATGTCATGAACTCCTAGGTCATTAAAGGATGTCATGAATTACTTGCTTAAACATAAAAGTATTAGTTCTATTACACTGCTGATGAGAATTACCTGGAAGTTGCCCACCATGACCAGACCTACGGCGTTGGCACAGCCGCTCACCAGAGCGCCGGTGTTAATCCAACATTGATGGCTGTGTTCGATCACCTGGGCGTAGCGCAGGAAGCACACCATCACCACTGCAGGAGCAACACGCATTTTAAACAAGCAGACACGTCATCTGTTCAACACTTTTCTATTAGTCACTTTGAAAATCACAGGACAAGGAATCTGGATTCACATTTTTTATCATTTAGTGTAAAAATATGCTGTTTTATGATGACATCATCGAGAAAACCAAGATCCTGCCACTTCAGACAGGAAAAGCACGAGGGACATGAGCAGAATTACAAATCCAAGGTCACAAGATCACGGGGACTGGAAAATGTTTGGGAATGCATCTGAAAGGTGAGGTGCAAAACGTAGCGATGGTGAAAACAGGAGTGAGATAATCAAGGACGGGGGGAGGGGGGGGTAAAATTGGGGCAGAAGTGACTGGTGATTAAAGGAGACAGGAGAGAAGAGTGATGAAGGAAGGTTTATGCAGAGGAGGGAGGAGGTGAGGGAAGGTGGAAGGAAAGCTGCATTCATTATTGATGAAACAGCAGCCATAATGTCTGAAGTCCTGAACACCGTCAGGCTGTGGACGCCATGCAGAGTTACAGAGACTAATTACAAAATATTCATTTTTTCACAACCAGCTTTTACTGAACAAGTTCACACACAGAAAAGTAATTAAAATAAATAAAGTTTGGGGATTTTGATCATCCCATAAAGATGAGATAAAGAGGAAATGGTCAAAGCGAAGGTTTTTCTGCAGACCAAAGCCTTTCTGGACACTTTTCTGCTCATCTGCAAATGGACTAGAAGACCTGACAAAAGGAGCTGTGCTCAGCTAAGATATCTTTAAAAGCCACATTAGCATTTATAAGTGAGCTGCTGCTGGTTGACAGAAAGGGATGAAAATCGCTGATAAAGCTTGGCTGACAGTTTGTAGCTGTTTATTAAGCTGAATGGTTACCAGGCACACATGTAAAAATATGGGAGTGGTACAAATCTCTCTAAAAACTTCAGGCTAATCAGAGCCGTCTCCCTGCTCTGCGTGTTTTACCTGAACCGTTTAGATCATTTTAGAGTTTCTGACAAAAAAATCTAGGGCTGCTACGATTAATCGACAACTAATCGATTATTAAAATAATCAGTGACTAATTTAATAATCGATTAATCGTTCTCTTTTTTTTGTTCTTTATTTTATTTTCTCTCCAAACTGCTTTGACACCTTCCACTGCCACATCTGCCTTTCTGTCCTTGACACACATGCACAGTAGTGGTAACTGGGGTAGGCCGTGGACGTCACAAGAAGGGCTGCACTAATTAGTTGAAATAATCGATGACGTCGATTATGTAAATTTGTCGACACAGATTTTTTTATTATCATCACCACGTGAATGCTCATGCAATTCCATTTCGGTACCTAAATGCATCATTGCGACCGTATTGGCACAAGAGTGGTGAGTTTTCCATGCTTGTCCTGAACGCAGCATCGCGTAAGAGCGTAATGACGTCAGCAGCYGCTGCTTCAGTTCAGTCTGAAGCTTGAAAACAAGCCTCGCAGCTCCTGGAGTAAAATTTACCGAACAGACCGCCTCTGAATTATCTGGTGGATTAATTATCTTGTGAACATGACGTTCGCTTGCTCAAAGTAAATAAAGTACCGCCACTTTCTTTATTTCATCCGCCATTAAACAGAGACCGGTGTTTTAGGTCGAGCCACGTTCCCCCATCAGACAGTTCCCCCATCAGACAGTTCCTCCAGCGTCTCAAACAACAGAGGAGCTTCCCGACACACGTCTGACCTAAAGAGCACAAGCAGCCAACAAGTGTTGGACGTGTTTTGGATGTTCAAAATGTAGCTTAAATACCTTTTATTAATTTTAACTCCATCCTCTTTTGCTTATTTGATTTAAACTTATTTGCCTTCCATGGACCTCCATCACACAGTTTTCTAGTGGGGAAATGACATCAATAGAAACACGTGGAGCTGGATTTTAATTTGTGTAATAAGACGAAACAGTCTTGTTGTTTTCAACAGTTTTCACCTTAAAGAAAAAAGTTACACAACTGATGTTACAATGCAAAGAGTTGGATGTTGTCTTGATATTTGTTAATTTTTATATATTGAGAAATATGTTAAATAAAAAATAATAAATAAATGTTTTTTTTATAGTTTTTCCAGAGTGACTTGAATTTTGCATGATTTAGTTCATTTGTTAGATTGTTAACATCTTGCACTATATTTCTTTTACTTGAATTTTATATGCTTTGGTTGAGATTTTATGTTGATGTTAAATCTTTTAAGCTTTTTTTGTTAAAGAATTGACTCTAGAGTGCATATTTTGTGTCCATGAAAAAACTATTAAAGAAAATATTACAATATTAAAGAACTGTTCTTGTTAATTTGATGAAAACATTTTAAATTTCCAGTGCACTCACATCAGAATAACTTATAGATTTGTTGTTAGAATAATCGATTGATCGTAAAAATAATCGTTAGATTAATCGATTAGAAAATAATAGTTTGGTACAGCACTAAAAGAATCACACTTTACAGTTCATTTCAGTTAGCTGAGCTGGAAGCAGAGGAACGTCAAACGATGCAAAGCAGGTCAAGAGTTCAAACACAGCAAACCTTCATCCACCTTTATCTGACCTCTGGTCTCCATCAGTTTAAAGGTTCAATCTGTCTATTTGTGATGACTGAATTATTTCACAGCATCAGACACAGAAACATTCACAGCTGTGTGAACACTGGAGACATTTTCAGGTGATGCATTTTAAAACAAGAAAACAGCCAAAATAAATCTTTAAGCCAATTTAATCTTACAAAATGTCTGTTAAACAAGAAAAGTGTATTTTTTTTTACAATTTGTCTGATGTTTTGATAATTAACATCAACAGAACCACTGAATAAAAAACATTTATTGATCCACTTCATGAAGTTTTTTGAGGACGTACCCATGAAGGCGCCGACGTTTCCAATCAGGCTGAACAGGCAGCTTTCAGGAGGGAAGGAGCCACATTTACTGGAGGAGCACAAAACAATCCAAGCATCAGAACTGAACGCTGAACACCAGGATTTTCATCACATTTCCTGGCAGTTATGCAGAAACAATAGGGATTTTAGTAACCAGTGTTAAGATGTGGACAGATGAGGCTGCAGTGGTTTTCTAGGATCATTTGGAGTAAACAATCCCAGCTAAATCAGTGAGGTGTTTGCACAGAGTCTAAAGGACACTAGAAGACAAAATCCACTCAGCCTGAGCCTGTTAGAGCGTTTATTCACTAAATCCCACAAAGATAATTATTAGGACAATAAACTGAATTCTGAATAGAAACGTCATGACTTTACAGGCTTATGCAAAGTCAGACTAACACAACACAATTTATCATGTCCAGCACTGAGACTGAGGTTTGAAAGAAGGTGGAAGCATCCAGAGTTGTGAAGTAACTAAGTACAAATACTTTGTTACTGTACTTAAGTAGAAATATTGGTTATCTGTACTTTACTTGGGTAATTATTTTCAGCATACTTTTTACTTTTACTCATTACATTTTTACACAATTATCTATACTTTCTACTCACTGTATTTTAAAAAAAGGTAAGAAGTAGAAAGTCGTTACTCCTATTTTATTCTGAGTTGTTATTACTTAAAAAATACTATCCAGATTAATTATGTCTCATGGATAGAGTGAATTTAATTGTGTTTGGATGAGAAGTATAAATATATACCATTCTGATACCATATTAGCTTGTACACAACCCATCACAGCTGCACACCGTTTTGGAGAAGTCACCTCCCAATAAATGTCATTTTGTAAAACCTAACTGCTCACTTTTACTCAGTACTTTTACTTTTAATACTTAAGCAGATTTTGTGTCAGAAATTTACTTGATACTTAAGTACAAAAAATATCAGAGACTTTAAGACTTTTACTCAAGTAATATTTTTAGAGAAGACTAACTTTTACCAAAATATTTTTATGATAAGATACTTGTACTTTTACTCAAGTATCACTTTGAGGTACTTTATACAACACTGGAAGCATCTGACTTTGGCAATCTAGATTTAAAATCAAAATTTAACAAACAGATGACATGAACACAACTAAAAAGCGAGCTATAATCCTAGCGTTTCTGTTCGAGTTCTGTGCAGATTACACAAACTCAAGTTATGCAAAGCGTGTGTTGATGACTGACACAGAGCCGCAACGTAACAAGGAGCTAATTCATGCCTGAGGCGCTTTGCCGACACAAAACAGGTTTTGTATTCTGAGACAAAAACCTGCACCGTGGCGAGGAGGAGGGGTACGATGGCACACCTGATGAGGGGGATGTCCTGGACAGTGCAGCAGGTCTTGGGGAAGCCGGGCCGGGGCAGCTCCTCTGCACACGTTACATTATAAAACCTGCCACATTAGAACACAATGAGCTCAGTTCAGTCTCTCATGGCAGCTCTGGAATCCACATGGTTATAAAAACACAACATGATTACACATTCAAACCCGTGTTATGACTCCGACAAGCCAATGAAACACGTACCAGTTCTCTACAGGACAAACATGGTGATTCATCACAGCCATGGCGTACCTACAGGTGCAAAAGTTACCATAATTTAAATGTCAAGAGCATCAGTGGAGTGAAAATATCCTGAAACAAGATTATATATATATGTGTGTACTCAGCCGTATAAATCTCTAAAGAGCTGGACGTAATCTGTTTGAATGTGACAGAAGACACGAGCACGCTTTTGTCATGACTCACACAATCCATATTCCTGTGATGGAGAAGGCAGCCAAGCTGACAGGCAGGACGATCCAGGCAGTCATCGGGCTGGCAGTGAGCTGGCGTTGTCCCAAGCATGGGGTGACAGGGGTTAGGGGGGGGCTTTAGGTCTGAGTGGCAACACGACAGGGGAGATCAGGTAGGGGGTGGGCGGGGTGTGGGGTCAACAATACACTGGGAGACATACACAAGGAGGGCATGAGAGGACAAAAGGGGGGATGGCACAGCCCCTCTGCTCTGCAGGACCCAGCAGCCAGCAGCAACCTGAAACGAGGGGGGGGGGGGGGGGTATTAGCAGCTTAAATCATACTGTTCCTCTGCCATAACGTGCTGTTCTGTTTTTCCTTCCCTTCAAGTATTTATCAGTGAGGGTGTGCCCGGTGTGATATCAGCTCAGGATCTCATCCAAAAGAAAGTATGTACTGTAGCTCTGAGACGCTCTGTTTCAAAAATAAACTCTCGTCTTTTGTTTGTAAGTCACAGCAGCTGACGCAAATCTAATGTCATCATAACAGGAAGTGGGTGGAGTGGCTGTTTGCTTTTCAGTGGTATACAAACACAAAGTGAGACGTGTTGTAGGAAAAATATGCGCTGTTCAAAATGGTATGTCTGAACAAACAGAAATCTGATGGATTTCTTCTTAAAACTTTACTTTCTATCTTCTGACTCCAGTCAGGTACATTCAGCGCTCAGCAGCACAGGCCTCAGCGTACAACCTTGGGCCAAATCAAAACAAATACAGACAAGAGCTCTGCTCTGAGCAGACACTGACAACTTCTCACTACTATAATAATGAATTGAGCTTATAATGTTCATCTCTTCCTGGTTACACCCTAGGAGGAGTTACCTTTTACGTCAGACGTCAGAACGTCACTCAGTTTTGTTTAGGCTAAAAGAAAGAACACGATAAGTAGGGGTGTAACAATACATTGATCTATATCGATATATCAATTTGAATGGTTCATGATTCAGTTACATCGAGGCAAAATGAAAATATCGATCTATATCGTCATCATATGCTCAATGGAAATCTGTGTTAGATGGGCATTTGCCCATCTAACACATTCATCGCATTATATCGATCGCAGACATGGATTGAACTGAATCGAAATCATACTGTGACAGACTTTGTGATATCAAGAAATATCGAACCGTCATCCAAACATATCGATGTAATATCGTACCGTGATAAAACTGGTGATTTACACCCCTAATGATAAGACACACACCAACTCTTTGTCTGTTTTAACCTTACAGGCTGAAATGATCAGAAAGTATAAACTACAAAACTGCATCTAACATTACAAAATTTCCTTCATTGTCACAAAACTGGAGATCTGACTGAACACTAAACTACTAAAGGTGCTAGATGCTGGGCAATGATAGGTGGCATATTGGAGTTCTGAGCAGACAAACTGGACTCTAAATTAACCCCCCCCCCCCACACACACACACACACACACACACACACACACACACACACCCCACTCACAACCCAACATCACTGCAGGGTGTTAACAGAAAGAAGGCGTTGATGTTGACTGTAAATAAAAACTCCCATTCTGCAGCTGGACTTCACTGTGTTAGTGCTGAACATTTCTTCCACTGCAGCTGAGATAACGTGGACTTAGGCCAAAATAAAAGATAAACGGCCCAACGCGTGTCGAATAGAAACAAACAGCAACAAGACGCGATGAAGGTTGCTGTCAGAGCACACAGGGTCCAGTAGAAATGAAGGGCTCAGCCAAGGTCAGCTGAGCGCTAACGCAAAATGGCACAACACCGACTGTATCGCTTTCCACAGTGTCCAGTTACAAGTGTGTCCTTGGCTCCGAGGAAACAAAGTGAGCAAAATTTAACTCGCTTCAAACAAAACCACACAATAAAGCTCTGGATTTGTAAGAAAATAAAAATAAAAATAAGGATGCTGAAAATCTTAACATCGAAGAGGGCGGGAAACAGTTTAAAGTTGATAAATTAGAGGAGCTTGTTGGATATATGCATTTCTGCATGTCACTTGTTGATAAAAATAATCTGAACATTGTATGTTTAAAAAGGTTCCTGTTATCAGTGCAGTATGCAAATGCAAGAGAAGTAAGTTTTAACTAAATGGGAAACATTTTACCTCCTGAATGCCAAAGTGATTTTCATATTAGCTGACATATTTTTTCTACAGACACAACACTAAAGCTGTGTGCAAGGGTTAGTTTAGATTTTAGCTAAGTTTAATTTCATGACTGTTGATGTCAGGCTATTTGAACATTGTTTTACCCTTTATGTAGAAAAGATATCCCTATAGGCTATGTTAATGCAATCTTAAGGACCACTTAAGTAATAAGTTTTAATATGTCCATGTGGGGATATTTTATGAGCTACAGTGAAACAAGCCTTTATGTTCATATTGTTTAACCAAAGCAGCTGAAATAAACATATTTCCATCTGCACTGCTTTGTCAGAAGTAATTAGCATAAAGTGTAGTTGGGTTTTTAACAAAAAGGGGTGATTAAAGGTAAAGGGTTAATTGTCCCCAGACACAATGACCATCACTGACATCCACACACACTAGAAGACAATTAGTAATTTGCTCCAATGAGCCTCCCCATCTGTCACATAAGACCTCCGTCTGCAAGGAGACAAACAGTCTTAAAGCGACACTATGCAGCTATTTGTCACATGAAACAGCAATTGTTAAGCATTTTTAATCCGTTTTAATGAAAAAGTGATGCTACCAAAACACACAGTCTCATTTTTGGGGTCTTGTTAGTTAAGTAAATAAGTTTATAGTGTTTGGTTACTGTGGCTGTCTCTCAGCTAAGATAAAATGTGTATTAAGTTTAGTGCTGGGCGGTATACTGTTTTGTACCAAAAACTGTTCTTTATTTATTTATTTTTTTAATGATATGAATTATCTGAATACCGGACATAGTGGTTTAAATAGCCTGAACACGTGCGGAACGTTTCGTTGTGGCCGCCAGTGAACTGTTTCCAAGGGGACACTTTTCCCGCAGCACCGCTAAGCGCATTAGCATGCTAACGTTGCAGTAACTGGCGGCGGGTGGTGTTTCAGCTGCTTATATTGACTGATGTTAAAAAAATCCAGTTTTCACCACCGCTGAATATTGTACTCTTCAGTGATGTGCACGGTTAGATTTAACGCGCGACGTTATAATGGAGACATTAATGCATGGAGATTTTAACGTGCTTCTATTGTGAAAAGCCCATGGGGGAAGTAGTTTTGTAATAGAACTGAGATGACTGGTGTGTGCAAGTTGAGTCGTCCTTTTAAGTTTTAATAACACACAACGATAGACCCGATAATGATCTTTTCTCGACCCTTCATGATCGGATTAAAATGCATGATTAAGGTCTACAACCAGGCAAAGAAGAAAAGATGTAGAAGAGGAGGGAAACAGTGATACAGAGGTACAGTAAAAGAAAAAAGTCAATAAGCAAAGTTTGTACATCTTATTATCAGCTGAGCTGTGTGGAAAAAAAATACCGTCAAATACTGTGAAACTGGTGTAATCGTTGAAAATACCGTGATATAAAATTTGGGTCATACCGCCCAGCTCTAATTTAGTTTATATAATCAATACATTTAAGCAATTAGTCACTTTTCAGCTACGTTTTATTCCTCCACCATTAAAGTAACTAAGAAAGCATGCACCATATTAGTTGCTCTTAGTTTTATTTTCAGCCTATTTATTTTAAGACTTATCCTTATAAGTCTTTTTTTTTATTTCAGCACAAACTGGGCTTAAACCTGCAGCCTCAGGATGACAAGACTGTGGTGCGGACCCCCCTATTTATCCAGATGTGGGTGGACCTCATATTTCTGTTCCATAGCCTTTTCCTGAAGTGATACATTAGTCGTTAGCTATATTAATGTTTGAAAAAGCAGTGGAGTGTGTGCAGAGGCTATATAAAACGGTTTCTCAATGAAAGGCTTTGAGTGAAGGTCAGAACATGAGCAGTGAACTGTGGTTGATTCACAATATTCAAACCAGACGGTGAAGCTTGCAAATTAAAGGTAGGAGAATCAAAGCGAGCTATAGAAACGTAATCAAAACATGGCTTGTAGCTTTAGTTCCTGCTTAACTACAGCAGAAAGAAGAGGCTGGACAAATGAAATGTACAATAACCCCTTAAAGAGCTGTGACATATGGATGTTATCGCTGTGAAATCAATCAATTGTTCCACCCGTATTCCCTCTATTAGGACAAGAGATCAGTTTGTGTTTTAGTAAAATTCATATAAATTCCTATAACATTGTTGTATCATTTATGTTATGACTCATACAGCTGTCATCTTCTGTTGAATAATAAAAACAATATTAACCGCACACAAGTTAACAAATGTGCTCTAATGTCTGCAGTAAAACAAGAGATACATTTATCATATTCATATTTATTATAAAGTTTATGTTTCAGTTCACAGCAGTAGGAGGGCATCATGTTACTCTGTTTATTCCTAAAACAGGAAACAACACTTTGACTTCACATTCACCTGGAAGCCAACAGGAGAAGTAAAATGTTTTAAGAGTAACTAGAGAGACATCAGTTTTGGTCTGTTTCTCTGCCTTCATAGGAACATTAAATTTAAGGGACACGGTGTTGGTGTACATGTAGACTCTGGGGGACATTATATCCAAACCCTCCGCTGTTCTCAGCAGTTCTACGCCACTGTACTAAAAAAAAAAGACATACAACTGTGACAGCTCATTTTCAGGAAGCATTTAAACACGTTCGCCCACATATCTCCACCCTGTTACTTAAATCAAACGAACTGAACTTATATCCCTGAGCTCGGCGGCAGCCTCTTCTCGTGGACCGGGGTTCGGGTACCGTTAGCCTTGTTAGCTTATCTAGCCCGCTAGTTATCACTTGTCTTGACTTGACACTTGGCCGCATCTTGATTTCCGCTAACCTAACCAATAAGCCGCCAAACAAAATGCACTTTTGGGATCAAAACACAAATAATACCGGGTCAGCTAGTGTACAAAAAGCAGCTTGTGCCTACCTTCTTCCTGCTGTGCCCACCACAGACCAAATCAACCTTGGTTTCCCTTTAAAAACATCGTTTTTCTTAGCAAATGAAGCTAGCTGTGGAAACAACTTCCTGTTCACCTTTTCAAAATAAAACACTAACCTGACATATTTTAATTAAAAATAAATAATTTGAAGCGCTTATAAAGTACTTCTTTGTGTAAATACAATACAATATACCATCATAACGACTAAAACGCATTTTCCCATAAATAATAGTAAGTCAGTCTTGGTAAAATGTCTGATCTGAGTTATGTTGAGGCAAGAAAGTGACATTGGTGAGCAGGAGGGAAAATGTTAATAAGACTAAGTTAAGACTAATTTACTTGTTAGTCTTAATGTTTACTTTTTGATAGTGCCTTGGTTACTTATTTTATTTTTTCCTACAGTGGTCTAAAGTGATTTTCTATTGTGCCTAACTTGACAAAGCCCTTAGTGCTGCAGGGCTCTTAATTTCAAAGTACAATAAAAAATTAAATAAAATAAAATAAAACACAGGAATACATACAAAAAGTTATTAAAAGACAACTGTTACACCAAGAATATGCTATTTATATATATATTTTAATTTAAATGTGAATAATTGTGATGAGATGTAGGCTACAGCAAATGTTTTTGAATACAACCCTGTGCAAAAGTCTTGCACCAACCCCAATTTCTTTATACTTTGCATCCAAGGAGACAGACTTCTTGTAAGCTGCTCTATAATCAATATTTTCACTTTTATGTAAGCACATTACAATATATATATATATATATATATATATATATATATATATATATATATAATCAAAACATACAATTTTCTTTACCTGCTTCTCCTTTCCAGGCTGTGGGGAGCTGGTGTCTATCTCTAGCAGTCTGTGTGAGGGGTGGGGTACACCCTGGACAGGTCACAAATCCATCTCAGTGGCATAAAGACAAATGAGATAAACAACCATTCACACTCTCACACACACACACCTAGGGATAGTTTAGAGTTACTAATTAACCTAAAATGCATGTTTTTGGTCTGTGTGAGGAAAACGGAACACCTGAAGAAAACCCATGCATGCATGGGAGGAACTCCACCCAGAAAAGCAGCAACTCTGACTTAATTCAAGTATTAAAAAGCTTTTCAGCTGTGAATAAAACTGAATGTATACAGTGGGCTTCATAAAGAGGATGGTGTTAAACCTTCACATTTTCACTATGCCTTGACAGGACTTTACTGAATATAATCTATACATTGTGAGGATAAGTAAGTGAACGCTTCAAAGCAGATGTTATTTCTGTGAAATAAAAACATTAAAACATACAGATGCTAACAGACCTTTTTAATAGAATTCACATAAATGGAGAATATAATTATTTTATTTTGCTTGTAATTTACAGTAAGGTCTACGAAGCTGATTCACAAGTGGAGGCTGAATTAGATTAATGAAAACATATACAATTCAATACTCATTATATTTTAATCAACCTTCATGTTTAGACTAGCATAGATAATAAATCTGAGTACATTTTTTATGCTAAAAACATTTCAGTACAGAGTTCATCTGGTGATAGAAGTAAAAAAAACAGTTTAATATACAGTATAATGTGTGGCCATGAGATAATTTTGAGCAGCTGAATTAAATGTCTCATGTTAGGAATTACTCTGTGCCTAAATCCAAGAGACTGAAGTATGTTACTGTAATTCATTCCTATATTAAAATAAAATGAAATTAATTCAAACTTGTCCATGTCAACAATCAACTGTCTCTGCAATAGTTATCTCGTGGCCACACATTATTTTTTAAACTAATGTCACCAGATGGGTTTTGTATATTAGGAATATTGTTTAGTATCAATTGTTTTCTTATCTTCTGGACCCCACATAGTAAGTTAGATAATGTTGTTTAACTCAGATCACCATGTGGTGCTGACTGATTAACCCTCTGTTCATCTTTACTTCTTTTCAGTCCTCTTACAGACCTGTTGCCAGTTAATGCTAAATTCTCCTCCTGATGGCTAATAAGAGGATCCAATGGAATTATTTTGTGACATAAAAACTGATTTTTGTTAAATCCCTCCTAATTAAACCATTACTTTCTAAAGGCATCAAAATGTCACAGAGCTTTAGTGAATCTTTCTGTTCGATCCTTTTTAACATTTTGAGGTTTTGATTTATCTTATGTCTACAGAACTCTGCACCCAACTGTGAAGTAAGCTAATACTTAAAGCCCTTATCTTATTGGACCCACCAGCTTTCTTTGTTCCCCTTTATCTTAAAATGTTTAAACCACCTCAGAAATTAAAGTAAACAACCTACAACACAATGAGCAGGTGATTTAAAAAGTATGTATAACACACTTCGTTTGTATGTTTTGTATAGTACCAATGTATTGGAGTTTTGTTCAGAGAATATAAAAGTAACCAAAGACATGGAATATTGTTTGAGAGACTGCACAGGGATTTCAAAATATCAGTCTGTGACAGAATGTACCTGTTTTCATGTTATTGTTGTCTATTGTGTTTTACCCCAACCTTCACCAAGTTTAGACCATAAACTACATGACTCATCTTAATGATTATTCATCAGGATGTGCTTCTCAACTAGCGTCATGTCAGCCAGGCAGCTCAGCAGAGGATAATGGTATTTAAACATCCTGTAAGTATGTGGATCCTCTCAGTCAGCAACATTAATGGGGACATGAGCAGGACGCCTCATGTCCTCCACTCTTAGGTGAAGACAGTATTAGGCAGCAGAGTCATCAGTCTGCAGTTTGGTCTCCGGACTGTCACCATGGGGAGTGCCAAGAAGGTGGGGAACTTCATGAACAGGAGGCAGAGTCTTTTCCCCAACTACAAAGTCACAGACTTAGATTCAAATCGAAGACCTTCTGAGACAGTTTACCCACTGGCCAAGGAAAGCTGCGTGAAGACATGGAACTCCATGCAGGAGCTGAGCAGAGACATCTATGACATCTACTCTGAGTACGAAGATGAAGAAGATGAGGGTGGTGGTCCGTATGTCTTTTCCAAACAGATTTCACCTGCCAAGAACTACGTGATCAATATCAATGTAGGGGGGAAGTCCTACCAGATAGCTTACAAGATGGCAGCAAAGTATCCCAAGACCAGAATAGGACGACTGGCCACCTATACAGACCACAACATGAAGCTGGACCTGTGTGATGACTACATCGTGACCAACAACGAGTACTTCTTCGACAGGGACCCGGAGGTCTTTCACAGCATCTTCAACTTCTACAGGACGGGTGTGCTGTACATCAGAGACGAGCTGTGTCCTCGAAACTTCCTGGAGGAGATCAACTACTGGGGCGTGAGGATCAAGAACACGAACCGCTGCTGCCGCATCTCCTTCGAGGAGAGGCAGGACGAGCTGAACGAGCAGCTGAAGATCCAGAGGGAGCTGGAGGCCGAGGTGGAGATCGAGGAGAATGAGGAGCTTTTCCACGACATGTTCATGGGCCAGGCGCGCCGAGCCATCTGGAACCTGATGGAGAAGCCGTTCTCCTCGGTCAAGGCCAAACTGATGGCCGTGGCCTCCAGTCTGTTCGTCCTGATCTCCCTGGTGGCCATGACCCTCAACACAGTGGAGGAGATGCAGTACAGAACGCACACACGTCAGCTGAGCGGCAAGACGTACTGCGAATACGTGGAGTCCATCTGCATCGCCTTCTTCACCATGGAGTACATGCTGCGTCTCATATCCACGCCCGACCTCCGGGCCTTCAGCAGGAGCGTGCTCAACACCGTGGACCTGATCGCCATCCTGCCTCAGTACCTGCAGGCCATCCTGGAGTTCTTCGACAACGAGGAAAACTACATGAAGCACGAGGTGGACATGCAGGCGGTGGGGCAGGTGGGGAAGGTGGGGCAAGTGTTGAGGATCATGAGGCTGATGCGGATCTTCCGTATCTTGAAGCTGGCGCGTCACTCTGTGGGTCTGAGGGCGTTTGGTTTCACCCTGCGTCAGTGCTACCAGCAGGTGGGCTGCCTCTTCCTCTTCATCGCCATGGGCATCTTTACCTTCTCGGCCATGGTCTTCACCGTGGAGCACGACATGCCGCACACAAACTTCACCAGCATACCTCATGCATGGTGGTGGGCTGCTGTAAGTGCATCTTTGTAGAAACTGATAGTAGATCAGGATGTTTTTTTTAACATATATTTTTACCTATTTGGTCATGGTATCTTGTCAGTTTTACAGGGTTAAATACTATAATAATATATTATTAAACTGTTTTTTTTTTTCTAACCTCAGAGCCTGGTTGTTTACCATAAATAAACCCATTAACAGATCACTGCCCTCCCTCTCAGAGCAGGTGGTAGAATCTTCCTTCTAATCTGGGGTTAGGAAATGATAATCCCCCCAATGATTCTAATGGGTATGGTTGAAAGGTGCTCGTTGTGCAGTTATTTTCGACCCAAGTGAGTCATTGAACCACAACACACCACACTGTGCACAGCCGTCCTCAGGTCACCACACAGTTCAGGTTTAAATTCCATATATGACGTTTGAAGTCTTTATTTTTATTTTTATGGTGAAGCCAGGTGCACGCTTGGGGTCACCAATATTTTTGAAAAGGAAAATTCCTTTACATTGTCAGTTTTCGAAGGCTTTAATCCAAAATAAACAGGAACCGTTCACCCTGACAATAACCCCAGTTCCAGCTGAAGAAAAACAACTCCACAGTATGATGCAGCCACCACCATGTTTCACTGTGGGGATGGTCTTCTTTCCTGATCCACCGTCTTGTTCCTGAACCAAACATGTCTTTTGGAACAGTGGCTAAAATCAACTTCAAATTCATCAGATCATAACGCATTTTCTCCACATTCTTTTAAAAGATGTGTGTGTGTGTGTGTGTGTGTGTGTGTGTGTGTGTGTGTGTGTGTGTGTGTGTGTGTGTGTGTGTGTGTG